TGTGTGTGTGTGTGTGTGTGTGTGTGTGTGTGTGTGTGTGTGTGTGTGTGTGTGTGTGTGTGTGTGTGTGTGGAGGGGGTGCGGGGTCTGAGGTCTGACTGTTTCACCCAGTTTTGGTCCAGAACCAGAACCTTTTCAGAGGAACATTTTTTTGTGTCTTAAGCTGCTTAACCCTGATCCAAATCCTTCGGACATTTAAAAGCTGCTGTGCTAAGCTAACCAAACCTACAGCTGTAGTTGATTCAGCTGCTTTCTTATTATTACTGCAGCTAAAACTCATGCTAAGCTAARCAAACCTACAGCTGTTGGTGRAGCACCTGTTTCCTCATAAAATTTGGCAGCTAATCTTCATGCTAAACTTGATGCTAAGCTAACCACAGTTTTGTCTGTAGGTGGGCGTTACAGCAGCTAAGCTAATCTAACCAAACCTTCAGCTTTGGCTGATGTTAGCACACAAAGTTGCACCTCAAAGAGTCTAAAAGGATAAAAATTAAAACATTTTCACCTCAGAAAGAAGTTCAGTTTTTAGTTTTGAACAGAAATGAAAGAAATTTGACTTCAGAGCTTCGTCAACAAATTTGAGTGTCACTAAATGAGCGTCATCTGTTTTAGCCGTTAGCGCTTTAGCTTTGCTGCYGAAGAGTTCGAGGAACACTTTCAGGCTTGTTCACCTCTGGTTGCTGGTTCTGTTCTGCATCAGACATTTAAATAAAGAAATAAAGAAACWGCGGGGTGGAAAGTCCCCTGCGGCGCTGCAGGAGCAGGAATGTTCATCCAAACATAATCCAAAAACAAGCTGGACAAATGTGGCCGAACAAATATCTGCAGCAYCACATCTAAAGAAGAAGATGACTCAGAGCTGAAGGAAGTCTGGGTTTGATTCTCGGCTCGTTGTTGTTGTTGTTTTTTTTTTTTATCTCTGGTGTTTTGAGTCAGACTTTAAAACTGTAAAGACTGGAGAGTCCAGAACCGTCCTCCCACCCGACCAGAAACAAACTCTTTTGTTTTGTTTTTAGTTTTATTTGGAAGCGTGTCGATGCGTCGGAGCTCCTCGTTATGATCTAATCATTAATTCACATTTCTGTTCTCAAAAAGCTGAAAAATATCTATGACTGTGACAAAAAAAACCCAAACGGATTTCAGCTGATGTTTCTGTTTTTCCAGATGGTTAAATTTAAAAAAGTCAACCTGCCAACTTCCTGATTCCTGCTCCAGATGGAAATGTCAGCCAGAAGAAACCCTTGTTGAAGATGTTTCTACATTTGTGCTGCTTCCTGTTAGCGTTACAGCAGCTAAAGAGGGTACAAAGCTAACCAAACCTTCAGCTGTACATGGAGCAGCTAAACTTGATGCTAAGCTAACCAAACCTTCAGCTGTAGGTAGAGCAGGAGAATTGTTATTTTCCTACAAATGAAGCTTGAATGATCGAAATGTAGCCGAAGCTGTAGCCTTTTGCTTTAGTTTCAGCTGTTTTGTCTCTTCTTCTTCACTGAATCTTAATTTGAAAAAAATGAAGAGTTTGAACCGGAGTTCTTGGACCGGCTCAGTCCAGACCCAGGTCTATAAAAAGAAGACCCAGAGCAGTAAATCCTGGCGTTTCTGAGCAAACCTTCAGTTTGAACTGGCTCTGGTTCTGGTTCTGGTTCTGGTTCAGATAATTGACTTCAGCTGGACCCAGTTTTGTTTTTTTTAGGCTGTAATTAGAGGTCCGGTTGTTGTGAAGAACTCAGACGATCCGTAAACATTTTTACCCTCAAACCCAAAACTCTGTCAGGGATTACAGTCAGACTTTGTGGACCAGCAGGTTCTGCTGACCCAGATTCTGATCTTTGGTTCTGCTCAGACAGATCTGACTGTTTAAGAAATTTCTGGTTGTTTCAGGATCTGCAGCGAGTTTATTCAGCTGCTCCAGAACCGCACTGGTGTTCTGACCCGTTGGACTCTCCTGGACCTCTCGCACAGAACCGGTCCTGGTGTTCTGACCCGTTGGACTCTCCTGGACCTCTCGCACGGAACCGGTCCTGGTGTTCTGACCCGTTGGACTCTCCTGGACCTCTCACACAGAACCGGGCTTGGTTTTGTTTTTAAAATCCTCCTACGATCAGGTCTCGTTTGACCGTCTTCGTCTCTTGGTCCAAGACTCAGAGGAGCCGAACCGTCCACACCAAGCCSAAGATCACGTCTCAAAGGTGCTGACAGTCACAGAACCACAGAGACGAGACCACAAGGGTTCTGAACCAAGACCCTGGTCCATGAGCACCACATACAGGATCAGAGACCAGAGGAAAGGATCAGAGACCAGTGGACAGGATCAGAGACCAG